TGGTGCAGGACCCCCTATGCTGTGGGCCCCACGGCTCCCCGTCTCCAGACCTGGCCTCGCCTGGGCAACCTCAGCGGGCCTGCCGGCCTCCTCCACAGCCTCACATGGGGCCCTGCCCGGTCCTTGGGGCCACAGAACGCCACCTGCCTCTAACTTGCTGTGTAAGCACAGATGCTCCATCTTCTTGAGCCTCGGTTTCCTTAGCTGTGATATGGGGGTAATCCCAGCCTCAGAGTTCACGTGGGGCTTGTGTAAGACCGTGTGAGAGGCTGGCCCATGGTAAAGGCCAGTTTCCTGCCCTCTGCCCTTGTCTTGCCTCAGCCCGTGGCTCATGCACCTGGGGTGGAGGTGCAGCTCTGCACAACTGTCCATAAGGCCCCCATACATCAACTCCTGACAAATAAGGTAAAATCAGAGTTTTTTATTTTATTTTATTTTATTTTTGTGAAGAAGATCAGCCCTGAGCTAACATCCATGCTAATCCTCCTCTTTTTGCTGAGGAAGACCGGCTCTGAGCTAACATCTATTGCCAATCCTCCACCTTTTTTTTTTCCTCCAAAGTCCCAGTAGATAGTTGTATGTCATAGTTGCACATCCTTCTAGTTGCTGTATCGCGGCCTCAGCATGGACGGAGAAGCGGTGCGTCAGTGCACGCCCGGGATCCGAACCCGGGCCACGAGTAGCGGAGCGTGCGCACTTAACCGCTAAGCCATGGGGCCGGCCCAAATCAGAGTTTTTGACTTTGTTGACTTTGAGAGCTGTGCTTCGAGGAAGAGGGGCATGTCGCCCCTCGGGTGCGATGGCGTTGATGGCATCCTTGGAAATGGCACTGTCTGCCCTGCCTGTTGTTAGGCCCTGAGAGTTGTCTGTCTCATGGGTCATCTAATAAATAAAAGGGCTGAAATATCCACTTCCCACTGTGAGGAATCTGGACTGTCCGTGTGAACAGGCATGATGAGGATAAATCCAAATCCACCTCTGGCAAACCGACCTAAAGGATGCTGTCTCTCAGCAGGTCCTGTGCCCACTTGGGCGCAGGAGGGGTGGTGCTGATGTCCCTGCTGCGCGGCACTGTGGTCCACACACGTCGTCCAACTTGAACAAACTGGGCAGCAAACGTCCAGCCAAGTTCACCTCTTGGCTGCCTGTACTGCTGCCTTTATTACTTCATTAGGAACCATGTCTGTGTTTATCTAAAATAAAAATGGAATTTGAAAGAAGACTTTGCTGACTTAAAAGTCTTAATCAAGATGGCTTGATGCCCACAATCTAAAGAATCCTCATTTTTCTTTTGATGGGGAAGGATGAAAACAGCCCTTTTATGCTGAGAAGTGAACACAAAGCCCTTGTGCCCTTAAATGGCATGGGGATCCTAAAATGCTGAGTGGAAGATGATCAGCTCATTCCCGAAGACAGTGAGCTCTCAGTTGTTTGATGGCTCCTCCCCCCGGATCACAAACGTGATTGTTAACAGTTCAGATGCTTTGTAGGGTATTTATTGCAGTTGCTAACACTTGCTTTATTTTTAAAGTCTGGAGGGTGAATTTCCCGCCCTGGAAGTTGGGTGCTCGTCGACATGGCTCACTGAGCCAGCTGTGGGAGGTGCGGGCCCCAGTCCCTGGGCTGCTGAGCCAATATGAGCCGTGTACACTAGTCACCTGGGGTCTGTCCTTTCTCTGGCAAGGACAGCTTCTTGTTTGGCAGGTGATTGGGAGCAGGGTCCCCTTGTCCATAGCTTCACTCTCCACATGGCTGACGGACGGTGCAGATGTCCCTCTGAAGTCACCCAGGTCCCAGAGGCTGGAAGGGTAGGTGGAGGGGTCAGGAAAGAAGTCCCAGTCAAAGACACCCTTTTCTAGGCCACCCGCCATGCCCTGTTTAGAGGGACCCTTGACACCTCCGAGGGCTGGAAGAGCCTGTTTGGCATCTCTGTTAAAAGAAGCTCTTTCAAGTCCAGGGTCTACTCCCCTCTGTGGCCCACCTCTCCTCCCTCCACCTATCTGGGTCATTTCCCCCCCTAATATACAGTATATATTCCTTGGTAAAGCTTCCCTGAGCCAAGGTTTGCTGGGTCCCCTCAGCTAGAGATGTGTCTACATGGTCCCCTTCCTCCAGGCTGGACTCGGGTTTCCCTCTGCACTGGCACTCAGCCTTCTCAGGATGTAGACGTGGCCACAAGTCAGCAGGTGGCTGCCTCTTGATGGGATCCTAGCTAAGGACAGGATGATCTGTCACAAGAGGTCACAGCTGCTCAGAATTCCCCAGATCCCACAAGAGTGTGGTGAGAAGTGGGGGAGATGAGAGGGGAGGGGAGGGAATTGAAACTCTCAACCTAGTACCCTCCCTGAGGAGGTCGGCCCATGGTGAAACCTCCATGTACGAAAGGAGCCTTTGGAAAAGGGGTCTTCAGTAAGGCAGAGCTCTGGACAACAGCCCCCGGGGCTTGGCTGGCAGGAAACCTGAGGTGTAACACTTGCCCTGTCGCGTGTTCTGTGATCTGAGGCCACACGTGCATGGCGCTGCTCAGGTGGACGGAAACTCCGCACAGTGCCATTCCAGCACACCAAGTGATGGCCCCGTGGCCCAGTCCTTCCAGGGACGTGTTCAACAGCCTGCGGCCGGCAGTGACCCAGAGGGCGGAGAAGGGATGTACGTGAGGCCCACGGGACTCGATCTTCTCCTGGGCCTGGCGGTGGAGGAGCAGGGCTGGCGGAGCGCAGGCCGTGTGGTGGGGCCAGAGTCCACTCTGTGCTGTCCAGGCTCCGCACAGGCCCAGGAGTGGGTGGCACAGAACCTCAGTCCCCAAGCCTTGTTTAACAAGCCGTGGGAAGAGAGCCCGTGTCTGTCCGTACGCTGTGCAGAGGGAGCAGGGCAGCACATGGTTCCTCTCTCCCTGACGGAACGGGACTGTTTGGCGTGGTCTGTGTTCCACACACGCACGCCCCAAGGAGCCGTCACCCCGGCTTGGCCTTCTGCTCCTGGCCGCCGTGCATTCACCGGCCACAGAATCAAAAAGATTGTTCTCACATCAGGAAGAGACAGAACAAGGCAAACAAACAGGATTTATGCTTCAATTATGTTTCCTTGAGAGCAGGCACGAAAAGTTGTGCATCATCTTTATGGGGTCGCAGGCCTCCCACAGACCCAGCCTTCTTTTCTCTTTTCCTCTTTCCTGTGCCTGAGCCCCAGCTGTGGGGGTCCCCTCCTCCTCCTCCCGGAATAGGAGAAGGACACACAGTGTCCGTGGTGTAGAGGCAGTGTTCACGTGACTTTTCCATTTGTAGCCATTCTTCTGTCGCCATCAAAGAGCTCCCTGGGAGTCATCAAATGTGGAAACACAAAGATGCCACCGGGTCTCTTCATTTGTCACCTGGGCACTGCGTCAAAACATGGATCTTTACGCCCATGAAAGCGAGGTGTCCTCGCTGGTGACGGCTTCGTTTATCCGCCCTGAAATGCAGAGTCCTTCCTAGTTGTCAGTGTTTATCTTTTCAAGCAGAGAAAGAAGTAGAGATGTGAGCCACCTTTCATCCTGCGATGTCCCTACGGGGAGGGGCTGAGGGTGGGAAGCCTGGAGACAAAGCAGGTCAACAGGGCTCCTCCCTGGAGGAAAAGCAGAGGTTGTGCAGGCAAAGCGGTCTGTAGGATTAGGAGGTTGGAAGGGGTGGCAGATTTTATTCTATTTTACCTTATTTTACTTTATTTTAAGACCAAGCCATCTTTACTCTCTTCAGGATTCTCATTCTGTTCTGGCATATTCCTCACTAGGCCTCCTAGACCCAGGAGGCCTCCTCTCTTCCACTTGAACCCTAGTGAGTTCTGTCCCATTTCTGGATTCCCTACTTAGAAGGCCCTCCTAGGGTCAGGAGGGAGCTGGGGGGTTGGGGAGCCTCCTCAGAGCCCCAGAGATGCTGCCGTGCACGAGCCCCAAGGAGCCACAGCCCTGGGAAGAGTCAGCGTGTCCCCCAAGTAGTCCATCCTGGTGGGAGAGCCAGGAGATGACACATCTTTAAAATCCATCTTTCGTCTCCTACTGATCTGAAGCCACCACCCACTCTCCAGCCTGAATCTTGTAAGCAAATATAGTTGCCTGATCCAGTTCTCTCCATCAGTTCAAAACCAGACATTCCCCAGACCCCCAAGGTAGGAAAGCACTGTGCAAGGATTACCCAGCCCTTACAAGTACCCGGGAGGTTGGGGACGAGGACCGCCGAGTACTTCACATGAGTGCTCGCCCAAGGTCAAGGGCTAACTTCCAGGCACAGCTTTTGAACCCCAGGCTAGGATTTACAACACTAAGTTTGTTCTTTGCATGTCTTCAAAGAAAAATAGAATTTAAATAATTAGTCCTGGTACAAATATTGCAAGCAAGAATGCAACCAAGAATTCCCTTAACTAGACTCTTCTTTAAAAAGGGCCTCTGAGCTCTCTTCCAGCTCAGATTGATTGGCAAAGCCAGGCGGGCAAGCCAGGGCCAGGTCAGACTAAATGGGGAAAACCCACCCAGACTTGCTTAGTTCACTCTCCATTTTCCCTATAGTTTTCTCTTGACAATCAGGCTTTAGAAAAAAAATGGAGGGGCCCTAATTCCTGACCCCCAGGGATCTAGTTCTGCCCCAACCCCAGGGCCTTGGATGAGGCGCATAGCCTCACTGAGCCGTCAGATGGAAGGTGGTGCCGAGTGCCCCCTACCAGGCCCTCAAAGGGCTGTGGAGGGATTGTGGGCTCTAGGATCACCAGGCAGAGCCCTGTCCCTCCCTGTGCATCCTCCCAGAACCTGGTTCTGCTGATGTGCCGTGGCCGTGCTGGGTGCCCCCCCACTGCCTCGCCGGTTATATTGTGAGCAGTAGGTCAGATGCAGTGTGTGAGCCCCACAGCATCAGCTACTCTTTTCAGGTTGGGTTCGTCCACAGATGAGCTCACATGTGACCAAGTGATGCCACGTGGCCCTGCCCGCCCGGCCAGCCTCCCTTCATCCTCGGCCCTGCTTCTGCCTGCAGGTACCTGGCGCTCTACGCCTACAAGCCCCAGAAGAGCGACGAGCTGGAGCTGCGCAAGGGCGAGATGTACCGCGTCCTGGAGAAGTGCCGGGACGGCTGGTTCAAGGGCGCGTCCCTGAGGACCGGGCTCTCTGGGGTGTTCCCGGGGAACTACGTGACGCCCGTCTCCAGGTGAGGCCATCACTGCTGGGGGGGCACGCCCCACATCCCCTGCAGCTGTAGTCACTGCCTGAAGGGGCCACCCAGACACACCGTCCAGAAGGCTTCCAGGGCCCCTGCCCAGGGCTCGGCCCTGGGAGCTCAGAGCTCCCCTGGAACCAGGGGTCTGCCTGGCGAGCGTTGCACCTTCTGAACTGGGTTTTGCTTGTCTTTCCCCCAGCCTGCGTGTCATCACATATAGACCTGTTGTACATAGTGCACACACATGTGCATATGTGCAAAGGAAAAATTATATATTCCCAGAAGTTAACAGTTGTTATTGACTGGTAGCATTATGTTTTGAGTAATTAAAATTTCTTTTCCTCCTGTGCTTTCCTGTGTTTTACAAATTTTCTGTTATATTATTTTTATTTTTATTTTTTTGTGAGGAAGATCGGCCCTGAGCTAACATCTGCCAATCCTCCTCTTTTTTGCTGAGGAAGACTGGCCCTGGGCTACCATCTGTGCCCATCCTCCTCCACTTTATATGGGACGCCGCCACAGCATGGCTTGACAAGCGGTGCGTCGGTGCGCGCCCGGGATCCGAACCTGCGAACCCCGGGCCACCGCATCAGAGCATGCGCACCCAACTGCTGGTGCCACCGGGCGGGCCTCTGTTATATTATTTTTATAAAATAGAAAAACGAGTTTTAAAGATTTTGCTAAAGAGGTAATCTCGAGTTGTCTGAGAATTTTCCATTGGGATGAGGGGTCAGCTGCTTGACTTGATTTCTGTCAGCCTCGCTCATGGAACCCTTCCCGGCACAGCCCTGTGTTGACACTCCAGGACTCCCACACAAACTGAAGCTGCGGCCCTTGGGTTCTGCTCTTTTTGGAGCAAGACTGCTATGAAAGAACCTCATGCCTAGACCTTGCAGCGGTGGCTACACTGACTCACACTTTTCAAAGTACCAGGAAGAGTAGGGCCCGCCTGGAGATGGGCTCGCTCACCACCTCATCTGATGGCCTTCTTGGGAAGGCCCGTAATTTGTGAGCCCACTTTCTTCAGTTTTTAAAAATTATTTCCTACGGTAAAATTGAGTTCAACAGGTAGCAGATGTAATTTAAAAAAAAAAAATTCGTGGTTTTGGCTGGCCAGCTGGCAGAGTTCCTTGCTAGAGGAGAATTTCAGGGCAGCTCTAAGGGCTAAGGAGAGAAGGTGCTGCCCTGTGGTCCCTGGACGGCCAACTCCTTTTCCAGGAGGCCCTTCTTCTCGCGGCTATTGTGCAGAAGCCCTGACTTAGTGCCGCATGGGCTCTTCCCTGAGTGAAGTCACGGCCCAGTGGTACCGAGCCATATGGAAGTGAGGCCCTCTGACCCGGCCCAGGAGCCGTGGGCCTGGCAGCGCCTGTTCTCTCGCACATGTGGCTTCTGCTGTCTCACAACTGAGGTCCTGAGGGGACAGAAGGGGAAGTTCACCTGGTTCTTAGACAAATGGAAGATGTTTGATCCCCCAAAACTGAACCCATAGAAGCTTCCAAGCCCCTGGACTCCAGTGGTGCAAATACGTGTAGGGCGAAAGGGTTAAAGCCTGCTTCAGAGTTGCTGTGCTCCTCTTGTATTTCTTACACACTCTAAACTGGTTTCTTCTGGAAACTCTGGGGTGAAAGGGCGTCTATTTCTGGTCTGAAACTGCCAGTTCCCTGACATCCCTCAGAAGGACGCAGTCTGTCTGTGCCTTTTCCCAGAGGCTGGCAGAAACAACAAGGTGGCCATGTCCAGAGGGAGACCGGTCCTTGCTGTCACTTCCCATCACGTGCCAGACGTGTCAAAGCCTTGGGGGATGTGGCTGAGTCATCGTTCCTCCTGGGCGTGTTTGGGGACACAGCTGTTTGTTAGAATTAGTCCAGGCAGTAGCTCTGGTACAAAACATTTGATAGACTGGGGTCATTCCTCTGTTTCTTGGGCTTCTTTACTATCTCTTAGATTCTCACGTTGAGAGTCGGCCCCTGTGAAGGTCTTGTAAAGCGTGCTCTGCTGCCGAGCTTGAGCCCTGGGCATCGTTTGCCTACCGGGGTGATCCTGTCATTGTTTTAGGATCTGCACCTTGGGCTGCATGGCCTTCATCTCTTGGAGCCAGCAGGTACAAGCAGGCCTTTAGCAGTGGCCTGTGTGGTGTGGTTTCAACCTGCGCCCTCACCTGACTTGATTGTGCTTTATTTCCTCAGGGTTCCTGTAGGAGGGGCTGGGCCACCCCGGAATAATGTGGTTGGAGGGTCTCCACTGGCCAAAGGGATGGCCACAACCATCCACCCAGGCGGTGGAAGTCTGAGCAGCCCAGCCACTGCCACCAGGCCTGCCTTTCCCCTCACCACACCCCAGGCCCAGGCCCAGCACCAGGCACCCTCTCCTCCGATGGGCAGCTGTCTGCGGCACTCAGCACAGCCAGCGGCCAGCCAGGCCCGGAGCACCATCCTCACAGGTACGGACCAGGCCCCCAGGGACCTCACTCTGCCAGAAAATTTGACAAGGAAGTGTCTCGGGGACACAAATCGTGAGAAACATTTTTGCCCAGGTCTCAAGCAGTCCACAGTGGGGCAAGTTGTATTTGCTCATCAGAATCATAAACTTCCGCTGATCTCCGGGAAATGTACTGACATCATATTACCCTGTGCTGGCGGCTGAAGTGGATAGAGAATTGACAAATATTCATACATTTCATCGTAGCAAGAGGACCGCGTGAACTAGTAAGGTTAACGTTGGCGCCTCCGGACACCCCAGTGGGGTGGGGGAGGTAGCCTCACAGGCCTTCCGTGTGCCGGGCCCGTAAGGGTTTCCTGGTCAGGCCACATCTCACCGGCCGGCCTGGGCCTGAGACCCAGATCCAGGGTCTTCCCTTTCTGAAATGCTCTGAGGCTAGGAGGAGTGAAGGTTGTTGATCCTTCACCTTCGTGCCAGCTTTTTTTTTTTTTTTTTAAGATTGGTCCTGAGCTAACATCTGTTGCCAATCTTCGTCCTTTTTTCCCCTTTTTTCTCCCCAAAACCCCAGTAGATAGTTGTATGTCATAGTTGTACATCCTTCTAGTTGCTGTATGTGGGACACCGCCTCAGCATGGCTTGATGAGCAGTGTGTAGGTCTGCGCCCAGGATCTGAACCGGCGAACCCCACGCTGCTGTAGTAGAGCACGAACTTAACTGCTACACCATCGGGTTGGCCCCTTGTGCCAGCTTTATCAATAGCCAGGCTGACATAATTTAAGGAAAATCCAGTTTGTTCCCAGTATGGTGTGAGATGAAGAGAAATTATGGGGTGGATCTTAAAGCAATAAAGAAGGTAAACACATCTTTCTTGGAAGCTTAACACTGAGCTAATAAAGTAAGCTCAACTTACTTGATGCTCCTGGGAACCCACACCAGTAACCTTCTGAAACCATAGAGCCAGCGACATTGTCACTGTGCAGTGAAGGGAACACAGGACAGGACGATGTAACTCTGAATGTCATTAAATGACACAGCCCAACCTTATTCTCTCAGAAATCATCTCTCTTCTCAAAGTAAGGCTTAAAGGACAAAACATGTAAATTCTTTGGAGCAATAAAATACGCTATTTTTTGGAATTTAGCCAACCAGAAGACAACCCATTAGAAGTGCTCCAGAAAGCATCTTCTCGAGTGTGAAAAGTCGAGATAAGAGTTAACGCAGCAGGGGCCATATTTTCTCCTGAGTCACTGCTGATGGGCCGGGGGGGCAGGGGTTAGATGTCTACTCGCTCACCCGATTACTCTTTAGGGAAGGTGACCTGCATGTTCCCACGCTGATGCCAATCCAGGTGTACACGCGCCAGGAGGAATTGCTGAGCCCTTGCAGGAAACGCTGAATGTGATGTAAATCACCCTGAGTGTTGTTGAGTGTGGTCCATTTGTTAGCACACCCGCTAACAAAACAGGACCCGTCTCTGCTCTCAGTTGTCAGGGAAGCAGTGCATCTGGCTGGGAAGGCCGTGGGGCTGTGCAGGAGGCTCTGATGTGATGGAGGCTGGGAGGATCGGAAAGGCTCCTCAAAGAGGTCCATCCCGCAATGAGCAGCAAAGTAACACTCAGGTAGGAAAACAAAGAAGGGCGCCATTTGAAGCAGGAGGAAAGGAATAGTCAGACCAGCAGAAGTGGGAGAAAGTGCGTTCTTACTCAACCAGCTGCAAGCAATTCAGTACAGACAGAGCCAACAGAGGTCTGGTTGAGGCAGAGCACGGGAGGCAGGCAGACCTGGGTTTGAATTCTGGGGCTGGCATCATGGCTGTCGCCTCGGTTTCTTCCTCTGTAAAGTGGCGCTTCCCTCCGAGGACATTGTGTAAGGACCATCCAGCACGGCTTGCCTAGTAATCAGTACATTTAGCTATTTTTATTCTTTTGTTAGAGAATAAGAATATTACTTGAGTACTCAATGCGTAAGAGTCAAAAAAGTAAATAGAAATTGTTACCAAAGATCTAGGGCATGAATTCTCTCTTAAAGGCAGTGGGGACCCACCGAGGATTTTAAGCCAGAGGGACGACACTTTATCAAATATCACCAGGCACAGCAGGAGGAAGAGTTGGCATGGAGCAGCCTGAGGCCAGGAGCCACTAGAAGGGTGTTGCTGTGCCCAGGTGACAGGTAGCAATGGGCCCGGACCCAGTGAATGGGGTTGCAGAATTGGGATAAAATAATGAGATATTTAGGGGGCAGAATAGTTATGACTTGGGGATGGGCTGGATGGAAGTGTTCAGGGAGAGCAAGAAACCAAGTCCAGTTTCCAGGTTTCTGGAACCAGTTGACTGGGAGAATGACAATGGCATCCCCTGACCTAGAAGAGACCAGAAAGGGACAGGTTTACGGGGGAAGATAATGACATGTGGCTTTGAGAGGTGCCATGGGTGTTGGTCACACTGTGGCCCGCTGGCTGACTTGGGACAGCCTCCCTACGTGGGGCTCACATCCCATGTGTGAATCTTGCCTCCCCATGGTAGAAGGCAGACCCTCCTCCTCCAGCCTGCCTTATAGGTACCATGTAGACTTGTGACCTAGACTCTGGGGACAGATCCTCCTGCATATGACTTCCATTCAGAAGACAAAACATGAGAGGCCATGTGGATCCCTTTTGCGGGTGAAGGTGGTGGTGAAAACATCCACCTTTACAGGGGAAGCAGAGTGGACTTCTGGGGTCCAGTGCCCAATGCTCAGTGGGTGCAAGGTGGACTTTGGGGTCCCATGCCCAGTCATTAGTGGGTGCAGGGTAAACTTCTGGTGCCCAGTGTCTGGCGTCATGCTGGGTAGTGTCCGTGTCCAGCTGTGGTGGGATCTGCACCAAGGAACCCTCACGGGTGGGCTTGGCACTGCCGTGGCTGCAGAGCCTCCAAGACTGCCTCTGCCATCCCAGAGACTCTGTAAGCACCTAATAGTCTCTCATATATATCTTTTTCATTTAAGTTAGCCAAGAGTGAGTTCTGTGTCTTTTCAGCTTTGGCCTGCAGGGTCCTGGGGAGGACCGAGCTGTCTTTGCCTGAAAGAGCTCTGTAGCAGCATCACCTGGTGCCGGACCTCTGGCCCCAGCCACCACCTTCTTCTTAGCCGTGCTTCTGGCGTGGTGCGAGTTCACCTGATGGTGCTTCTTGGCAGACTGTCTCTAGGGACACAGCGTTGTAGTAGCCAAGTGATCCAGTGAGCCCACAGCAGAGCTTCCTGGTGTGCACGACTTGGTCAGAAGTACACCAAGATACCGATCTCCTTGGCCTTTAGAAGCTAACGTCCCAAACCAGGTCCCTTCTGGTTATAAACATCTCACTCACTTACCCCAGCATGCCACACAGATGTTTCTTTGTGCACCACGACATGGAAAGTTTGGGCAGCCCTGCTCCTCGCTGAGAGTGAACATCACAGCACGGCAGCCCTGGGTTATCTGCACAAAATGCCAGTAAAATGGCATTTCCTTCCTAGCCACTTTCTCAATTCAAAGAAGAAAATGAGACCTGCCAGTCATTTCTCCCTCCATGAAATAACAAGCAGAATCAAAAGAAATCGGCATGGCTAGCAGCAGTACAGCATTGCGTCTCAGTCATCAATCACCATAGTAACCACTGTGGTGTGACAAGCATTCTCTTCCATCAGTTTAATTTTACATATTGGAAGCGTGAGGCACAGGATGGTTAAAACGGCTTCCCCAGTGCATTCCAACTTAATGCTGTCCCCACACTATTGCTGTCACAACCAGGTTAAAGAATGGCTCCTACAGCGTCATATCAGTAAGTTAAATGCCACCGAGTTCCCACAGCATTTTCCACTTCACTCTGCATTTCAAGAGAGAAAAAACACTGCTGACAGTACAAGTAATGGATTGTTCACTGCGATGATTGCCCATTTCAGCAGACCCGAACCCAGGCGGTTGAGAGGCGTTTCATCAGTGTTCTCATCTCGAGCCAAAGGCAGGCAGTTTCACAAAGGTTTAATTGCATTGCCCATAACGTCCAATATGATTTGTCCTACTTGATTAATAGAACTCCTTTTTCCAAGGGCAGATCTCTCCCTGTAAAGTGCCGTTGTCCACACAGCCTCATATCAGTGCTTAGCAGGGGCAAGAGCCCTGTATGGCCATTTATTCATCAGCAAAAAAGCACTGCAAGAGAGCTAGATACACACAAGGCAGTCTGCTATGATCTGGGAATACAGAGAAGAACCAGATAGACCCCATTTGTACCCCCAATTAGAGATAAGGATAAGAAAACCAATTCTTAAAATAGAGTTTGGAAAGCACTGTGGTGGAGGCATCTGTAGGGTACTAGAGCATGGAGGAGAGAGATCTTGTTCAGATTGGGGAGGAAAGTAGCAGAGGGATAGGGAGGGGTTTATGGAGAGTTTTCAAGAGGAGGTGATTTGCCTTGATACTTCAAGGACAAATAGGAACTATCTTAGCAGACAAAGCAGAGAGAGAGTTCCATCAGAGGGACCAGCAAGGGCAAAGGCATGCAGTGAGAAAGACCATAGCCCCTATTTGGGTAAGATTATTTAGTTTGATATGACTGAGACAAAAGGTATGGAAGGAGAAGTATAGTGTCTTGATGACAATTTCTCCGCTGAGGCAACATTTCCTTTTAGATCTCAAAGATGGTAGAGCTTAGCATGCAGCGGGGGTGAGGTGAGAGTGCAAACGTGAAAAGCCGAGGCTGCAGAGGACTGGTGCATCTGAGGACTGAAATAAGGCCAATGTGGAAGAACGAGACAGCAAGAGGATGCGGGCCTTGAGGTAGAGCTGCAAAGGCAAGCGGGGCAGGTCATGAAGGTTCTGTTGGATCACGTCAAGGAATTTCAGAGTTTATCTCAAGGGCGATGGAGACATCAGAGGCTTTTAAATAATAGATACAATCATGTTTTTGTATCTAAAAGGTAAAGCTAGACTTCTGCTCAGATAAAGTAATGAGCACAGGATTTACCCTCCCACTGGAAACAACTGAA